GAATGATGGTTTCTTTTCTGTGGAGGTAAATTTTGGCATATCAGTTATATTCTGCGCGGTATTTTTTTTTTTATTTTTTGAAAAAAAAAATCCTAGTTGGAGAATTTTTTTGTAGTTACCAGGATGGAAACTCGTGTGCGGAAGACAGCGGAGCAATGGATGACAAGCAGCAGAAAAGTGAATGCCACCAGTATGGGCATCTCGATGCGGTACGTTTTGCTGTAATAGCGGTTGATGCTTTCGAACTATTGTCGTTTTCTGGTCCTTGCTGTTGTGGATTTGGTCACAGCGACTCATTTTCTTTCGACACTTGATAACCTTCATGCAAGGTCATTTTGTATGCCATGCAGTCGCCGAAAGGAAGCCAGCTTGTGAAGCAAAGCTTCCACTGTCGGCAGCACTGAATTGGCTGCTTTCCAAATATTTAATCTGTTGGCACTATTGCTGCATCTCACCCAAGTGACATCCGTTTACACGACTTTTTTATACCTCCTAACATTATTTTCAGGCTAATGAAGATCGTGAAACAGGTACTTCCAGAGTGGAGAAGGCAGTAAAGATTGATCGCAGAAGACTTGCTGAAGCTGTTCGTATGGTTAGTTGGTTTAATGCTTACACTTTTCAGCTGTTGTAGGAATGATTCATTCGGTTTTTAGCAGAAACGAGATCGACTTGAAGATCTTAGTTTTTATTCGTTTTATTCTAAAACCCTGGGCTGAAGCGCATCAGGCTTACCGCTGCAGTCATGCATTTTTGCACTTAACTTGAAGCAATCAAGTCGTTAATTGTTCGAACGGTTGCTGTTTTATACTTACCTTGTGTGCTCATTACCGTAAATCATCGTAAATTTTGCATTAAGGGAAATGAACAGTTTCCGCTCAATAATTTTCTTTGATAATGACCTAGCTGTTCAGCGTGAGCAGTTTTTCTGCCAAAACTTATAAGGGCTCCTGTGTGAGAGCCATGCATGCTTGGGGGCTGAATTTGAAATTATTAAGTTAAAATTGGGCAGGGAACATTCCGTTGAAATTTCAGCCCTTTAGCTTTCTTGGATCCCGAGCTAGCAGTTTCCCCGTCAAGACTTTCACACGTCCGTACATGAGAACCACGCATACCTGGGGGCTAAATTTGAGACTTTCTAGTCGTGCTTGGACGGGGAATATCTTCTTATGATTTCAATTTCCCAACTTTTGTGATTGCCGAGACAGTGATTTTCCCGCTAGACCTTTCACGTGCTCGTATGCTAGCCTCAAACGTGTATAAAGGTTGGTATCGCAATCTTGGGATGGCACTTGGCCGGGGGACCCACTGGCAGACTTCGGCGCCGAGGCTTGCTTGGCTACCGAGTTGAAATATCAATACAGACAGACAGACAGGCACACACACACACGCACACATACACTCACATGCACACAGTGGATCGTCACGGTATTCGTTTTGTGCTGCAGCAGTTGCATAAAATGCGAATTGTCGGGACTCTCTGTGTGTGTTCCGATTGCATTTTATCTGGGGGTTTCAACCCGAGAACCAGTGAACCTAGGGAGCTGAAATTTTGTGGCTGACCCCTTACCCACGTACGGTCTCGCAGACTCAAATTCAGTGTTCGCGTACGCCTGGGTCTTGCGTCGATCGCATGAAAGTTTTAGCGCCTAAATTAGTAACTCGGGAACCATAAAAGCCAAGAAGCTGCAGTTTCAGAATAATACTCCTGCCCACATCTAAATCCAGTCTTTGCATATTCCTAAGTCAGGTACGGATACGCGAAATTTTTGGCGCCAAAATTAGTAGCTTGAAAACCACAAAAGTTAGGAGTGTGAAATTTTATGAGATTGTTCCCTGCCTGCATACGATCCAGTGGATTTAAACTTAGCCTTCATGTGCATCTCAACCTCACTTGCAGAATTGTGAAAGTTTTGACGAGAAAATCATTTAGCCGAAAATCAGAAAAGCTAGGTGTTTGAAATTTCGGAATGATGCTCTCCCCTGCGTACATATTAGTCGCCGCGCACATCTAAGTTTCACGTACGAAAAAGTGAAACTTTTGAAATGAGTAACTCGAGGACCAAAAAAATTTTTGTGCGTATTAGCAGTAATGCAGTGGGCACTTTTACAGCAAGTTTTTCCTGGACAAAACTGCACAAGCCTTAGCAGGAGTGCACAAAACGCATGATGGCGCTAGCTACCCTGGCACGTGCTCATGTTTACTGCATTTGCATACATGCAGAAACGCATGAAAATGGGTTTCTGAAATGTTTGCTTCCAAATTGTGTAGTCACCAACAGGGCACGCAGAGTTAGCCGCACTTTCGTCTGTGGAAAATGAATGCATAAATTTTCGGCTGCACAAATGGGTGCTAAAATTACAGTGAAGTGCAGTTTGCAGCCACTTCTGTTACGGTGTTTGCATTTAATTAGAGTCAGCGGTGTTGCCTTACTTTCTACTGCTTTATTTTTATGCATTTTATGCTGTGTAACAGCGGTACAAAACGCATATTTTCATGGGGTTGTCTTTGTGTATGTGTTTGTATGTATGTATGTATGTATGTATGTATGTATGTATGTATGTATGTATGTATGTATGTA